CTGTTTGACAGTTTTACAGGATTTTTCACGAAAAGTATTGGATCAGAACTATGATTTTAAAGGAAGAAAAAGTTCAGGTAAAACCTTGCAACTTCATTCTCTACACAACTCTCCAAAAATCGTTCTCATTTACAGGATTTTGGAGAAATTTGGAGTAAGGGATCATTTTTTCCTGTAACTTCCTGCAAGTTCGTGTAAAAACCTGTAAGTTTATGGAGTACTGGATCAGAGCTATTGTTTATATTATATGTACCACTTAGGGCCGGTTACTCAATGTCTGGTTAACGCTAATCTGCGGTTAAACATCGTTATCGACGTCTTCGACTCCATGCATACAACAGGGAGTCGGTAACGTCGATAACGATGTTTAACCGCAGATTAGTGTTAACCAGACATTGAGTAACCGGCCCTTAGTATGCATTTCGTTATTTTTGAAAATGGGAATTTGGCAACATGGGTAGGTTCAGAAGGCGCAGCAGTTGAGGGCAACGGTTGCTAAAAAAAATCAGTGATCTTTATAGCTGAAATACAATGCCGGCGAACGGCGAACTCACCACAGCGAAATTCGCGCTGTCAAAATTAGAACACCCGCAAGCATATGAAATTGAACACAGCCAAAGCGAAATGCGAAGTTCGCTTGGCGGCGTTTCATGGCGATAGATTTATTTCTATCGCCCTGCTGGGCGATGACAGCTGTGCGTGCCAAAGGTGGCCGTATTTGTTTTTTGCTTTCAAAGTTTTAAAAGAAAACAACCTAAACACGATTTTTTTTTTTGTTGTTTGAAAAATATAGTTGTGGATTCGTTAAATCTGGCTTGAAACAAATTATTTATAATAATCTTTCTTTGTTTTACATTTATATTTGTTATCATTTCCTCATTTCTAAATATGGTTTAAATTTTTCTAAATATGGTCACCCAAATTATAAAGGCGACCAAATGGGATCAGCTGTTTTCGCTACCGCTCTAATTCTGTTTAAGTAGGCGAAATAGCTGGGCGAACGGTGAACGACAGCATCGCCCAATTCGGCGAAGTTTGCCGTTCGCCGGTATTGTATTTCAAGCATTATACGTCTTCTGAACGGCTTGATACATCAGCGGTCAAATTCAACTCCCAAATGTACACAACAATATGTTGTCTCAAATGATCAGAAAAATATTACGATCATCTAAGGGCCAATTTCAAATGAATATTTAAATGGCACTTAAGTTTAATTGTGGATTGTTGTTTAAATGCCATTTAACTTTCGTTGGGTTTCAGATAAACTTTGTTTAAATAAGCCAAACAATTGGCAGCACTGCTGCTTGTTCCTTGAAATTGTTGTTGCTGTTACGATTATCCTCGAAACCTTGAGGGATTTCCCAAATATACTCG